GGGCAGGCCCAGCCCAAGAAGATATCTGGAACCTGGAACCGAAAACACTCAGTTCAGCTGGACATGAGATTCCTCTCTGTCCCTCTGAATTCCAGCGCTGCCTCACTTTGCCTGTGACTGAAATAAATAAATTATACAACTGAGAACTGAAGATTTCTCCGGCTTGTTCTTGGGCTTCCAACTAAAGAATCGGGTCTAACAGAGTCATTAGACCTGGATGACTGAGAATCTTCACAGACAAAAAGAGGAATGTGTCTGAAAACAAAAATTCTTCCAACTTTATGGGCAACAGTGTAGTTTGTTCTTTTTGTGACAAATACCCAAGTTTTACGCACTTGCATCGTAGCCGTCTGTACAGTATGAGCGTCTGTCTTGTTAGTGCTTTCACATAAATTTTTTATTTGTTCTCAGACAGTTTAAGTACCAGGACTGCAGCTGAGGCAATAAAACTTTCTCACACGGCGGAACAACACATCTACGCTACATTTTCATTTAGTATACAGCTGGATCGGGAGTCAGTTCCTCATAATTTGCTCGTGACAGTGATGCACCTGTTAACATTCTCATAGTTTGCCACGTTGTGAAGCTTTCCCTTCTGCTGTATTATATATTTAAGATCTTTGCATTTCTCTATTATCATTTTGTTTGGCCTTCTTTTGTAAGTCCATTTTCGCTATGGTTAATCTGTTGCTGACTCTGTCTCTTTCTATGAACATGCTCACGTCTCGGTGAACTTAAACTTTGGGTTAACTTACCGAGTTGACAAGCAGCTTCGTAGAACGCTCATCCTCACTGCTGTATATAGTTTCGGTAAAGCCAGACAGCAAGTGATTTGATTTCTATTTACTTACTAACCTTTTTGTAATTGTGTATATTTCTCTAAAGTTTGCTTATTGTACTCTAGCAAAACAATTACCTTCAGGATAAATAAAGTTGAGCTTATCTTATCTTGAAAGATACTAGAACTAGCTTTGTAGTACAAGCAACAGGCAACATTGCTCCATAGCCCAGTTCTTGCTCTCACATGCCCATTTCAGACACTTTTAGCAGTAGACAGCGTCAGTATTGGCAGTCTTACTGGCACATGGAGGGGCCGGCGTTCAACACGAGGATTGCAACCTGCTGTACTATCTGAGCAATGGCCGCCCCACAGTGTGTTCAGTAACTTGTGCTACAGTAGCTCCTGGAGCCCTTCAATGCTTGAAATGAAAGTCTCAAGTGGCATAGATTGATGTTTTTCATGACAGCTACAGAAAAAGAAAATGTAAGGTTTATATCTAATGATATTCTAATTATCACCTAACCGCTTTGTTTTCTCGCATACCGCTCATATGGTCGATAACTTTGTGACAATTGTGCGTCAGTACCTGGAAGTAAACCGTCTACTTCCTGTTAACATTTGTCGCTAGCTGATAGTTCCTCTCATTGTACTTTCAAACATCAGTTTTCAGTTTTTACTGTTTGATTTATTGTGTAAAATACACATTTTACTGATATTTACCCAGACAAAGAATCCCAGTGTTTCATAGTGAACAAAACATCTAGGCGCTGAATTAACAAAATACTTTACTGGACTTACCAGAAATGCATTGCGCTCATGAGAACTTTAAATATTTCACCCAAACAGTGAGTGATGTAGACAGTCACGTGTGGCTAAATTCAAATAGCACAAGAAAATGTTTACACGTTTTTGCTAAAATGTTGAAATGCTAAGTTGTTCCGCTCTAAAACACAATCATGGCCTGCTAGCTTTACTTCTCTTTGGTCGTGGTGTGCTATTTAAAGACTTCTCTTGTTTTTATTCTCCTTTTTCTTTTTTAAAACTCCATCAGTTTTAATCGTCCGTTTTGTTTTTAGCAACGGGCGCAGGCTCTCCGGAGAGTTGTGGCGGCAGAAACAAATGGCGCTTGACTGCAGATTTTACTTTCACAACCTATTTATTGAATGGACAGTTGAGAATGGCTTTTTAAAGGCTGATTGTAAAAATAATAAAATAAACAAAGTGATGAAATTAAATGAATAAAAATAAAAACAAAACAAAAAAATAATAACCATTTCTTGATGGGCCTGTAGAATCAGTGGCAAAGTTTCCACCCAGGCGAGAACAATACATTTTTCTGTTTTTTAATTTTTTTTTTAATAGAAGAGCTTTGTGGCTCTGTTGTACATTCTCCGAGAGGTGATCGCTGATGCTCAGCAGCTGACATGTGACATGACATTGTTTCTTTCAATTTCCTGCACCCTAATCATTTTACAATTGTTTCTTTATAAGCATTGACATGTAAAAATAAGAAAGGGAAAAAAAGGTTCATGGACACTTACTGTTATCAGTGTGGTAGAGCCTTCAGTGGAACCGGCTATTTCTGTCAACCCATTTATAGGGTCCCAGCCTGATAGCCTGCTTCCCTTTAGGTTCTTCTCCTCCACTCTAATCTCTCTCTCCTGCTCCTCCACTCAGCTCTCCTTCACTTTGTTCCATTGCTCCTCTCTGTCTAATGTTACTTGTCTTATATGATTACATAAAACAATAATGTTGGATCATTTATACTCCATCACCTCTGATTACAGTGTGATCACTATTTTTAACCTGACCATCATCATCATGTATGAGTCAGTAAAAGGCTAATGACACCTGACTAGCATCATCTCCATCAGGTGTCTTCCTCTTCTTAGAGAAATATTTGAACAAGCTCATCTGAAGATGCAGTTCCATCATAGCGTGCAGCTGTTAGCGTAATGCTATCAGTTAGTTTACTCACGTTAGCGACACTGAGTTGGCACCAGGCCCAGTTAACTTAAGATACCGATGTGTTGCGTAACGTTAGTTGGCCGTCAATATTTTGCAAATTTCTATTTAACTTGTAATATTTGTTCTGAGTTATCTTAAGCTAATAACGCTACGTTTTCTCCAACAAGTCGCTGCCCTGTTTTCCAAGACAAGCCTCCTCTGACTCTGTGACCTGGACCTCGCGAGTAATTAACGTCGTACTAACCCCCCAAAGAGTAGATACTGAGCAAGATAGTTATCTGTAGTTTACCTTAGTACTTACAAGTACCTGACCCAGTGCAGGACTCCGCTGTGAAAGTGGAGACATGCGGAGGTATATTTGCGATAATAAGAAAAAAAGGAATTTGAAGGAGCGGCGGCTAGGATTTAGGAATGGCAGCCCACCACTCCTAAATGAATTGGCGAGGTAGTGATAGCACAACATTGGTTAGAGTAAGTCCTTTACCTGAAATAAAAACTGAACCTATTGTGCAATGTCAGTAGGTGCCTTTTTATTGTACTTTTGGGGAAATGCATTTATAAATGGGGTGATTTCTTGGAGTGTCATTTAGTAATGCGATGAGATGCTTCCAGAACTGTCAGATTCAACAGAGTGGGTGGTTGTCGTTAATCAATCTCATCATACATCAGCTTTTCCATCATTTTTATTTCACCACAGAGCATCAGGTCTTAATGTCGGGGATAAAAAGAAAACCTGACAAGTTTGAGAAAGTTCGCTCTTTCAACCCAGAAACAATCTGTAGTGTTAGACACACATTCAACTAAAGGCATTACGATAGTTCTAATTAGGCACAAAGACAGTCAGCACAGTGGTTTGGTTGCCCGACTCTCTGCTCAGATTCCCTTGTATTCTTGATTCTGGAGATGTGATCTGAATGCCTGATAAAATTTCCTTTGCTTTACAGCTCTCCAGGTGATTGGTGGAAATGCAACCGTGGTTCAAGGAAGGGTTGCTGTCTTACCCTGCACACTTTTTGACACTGAAGAGACCCTCAGTCAGATTTCGTGGCAGAGAAGGACCAGAGAAAAAATCCGGACTGACAATTTCTATACTATCCAATCCTCAACTGGGCCACGCTATGTCAATGGAGACGATGATCGATTTAAATTCATTGGAAGTTTTAGAGGATGGAATGGAACTCTTCTTCTTTCCGATGTTCAACTGAAGGATGAAGGGACCTACACATGCATCTTCACGTTGTTCCCCAGTGGCAGTCACAAGACGGAGATACCTCTAACCGTACATGGTATAGTGGACTTTTGTATTTAAGGTGCTCTGGATGTTTGTGTGTGTGTGAAAGAGAGCGAGACAGTGCTGCTTCTACCTTCCTGCATGCATGTTGACTCTTTTGTGTACGGTGACTCTCCTAGTGCCTCCACTCACAAGCCTGGAGTACAATATTCCCACTGTGGGCAATGACGAGGTGTCCCTTGCTACCTGCACTGCTGCAGGCTCCAGGCCTCCTGCAGAGGTGAGGTGGATCACTGGTACTCTGGCAGAAGAACTGCGTACAACAACCAACTCTACCCAGCACAACAACGGTACGACTACGACCTTCAGCTCCCTGGTTGGAGTACCTACCACACGAATCAACAAGCAGTCGGTCCAGTGCGTCATCACCAGTGCAGCTTTGTCGAAAGAAGAAAGTCTGCCCTTCACCATTCAGGTCCACTGTAGGTATACATACACTTGCATACATCAATGGCTAATGTTTTATCATTTGTGTTTATTTGCATCATTGACAATTTAAGTCACTAACTTAATTGTATTATGAGCACATTGTCATTGAAGTGGTCTAACAAGAAACTAGACTTCTTTACGTGCTCTTGGCTCTGTTTAAAGACTTTAGAAAGTCCAACCTGGAGTCTAACAGGAGATTTTAGCCAATCACAGGCCTTTACACCGAGCAGCTGAGACCGTATAAATTAATAGTAATTTTGGCTTTTCTAAATTAAAAACCTACTGCAGTTGTAAGATTATACATTTTGTGTTGTTTGCTCTTGACTTAACAGCTGTAGTTGAGAAAGATTGTGGCGTGCTGATCTTACTGCTATCACTGCTTGGCTGTCCACTGGAAGGCAAAGGTCAAGTGACGAAAATGAAGAAGTCAAGACAAATTGTCTAGTCACATGAGAAACTGACAGAGCACAATGCTTTCTTAGTTCACTGATAAAGACCTTCTCTTGTGAGGCAGCACAGCAAGTCTTGCATTTACCATCAACAGCATGTTTTTGCAATTTGCAGCTTTTGTAGAAATTGAGACACTTTAACCCTTTTTTTAGAATGACATGCATTTGTGTTTGGTGGTGACTCTACTTGAGTAATGCTCTGAAACAATCTGAGAAAGCATGACACAGACAGTCCCCGAGATCACGAAACCCCAAACCTGCACTCCCGAATGGAGCAGATGAGCATAGTCACCTTGAAATGAAATGGAATTTAATGAAATTAGCCTATGTGTGGCAACAAGCGTGTTGCAAGCAGCACGACCTTCTAATGTGAGTGCACAGAATCAGCAGCATGCTGAATGCAAACAGATGAACATCTGCCAAAACGCTACTATATTGATTTGATACAAAGGAAGTATTCTATGTGAGATATGAGACCATGTGTGGATTCATGCAAGTAGGCAAGACCCTTACATGTGGTTGTGGGGGATCATGGTGAATGCTAAGAGATGAACATCTGGCAAAAAGCTGTTAGAGTGACTTAGTACCAAGGATATATACTATAATTGGAGAATGAATGAGGGACCTGACATGAAACCCGGCCCCAGTCCTATTTTGTGATGACAGATAATGTGTAATATTACATATTCCTGGCCTTCAAGCAGTATTTGATAGCATTCGGGCAGAGGAAATGTTCATATGCTGCAGAGGATGAGGGGAAGGAATAGGTATTATAGAGTAGAGGAGAGACCACGGCTTTAGCATGGGATGTGGAAGCGAGCAAACCAAGGCCTGGGCAGGGCCTTCCCAGAGTTGATGTTGACCAGACTCTCATCTCATCGCATCGAATAACCATTCCAGGTACCGAATCATAGAAGAGAGGGAACAGAAAGCACATGAGCGATAGCAACAGAGGTTGGAGCACCGATTGGTTTGGTGAAATGTTGGAAAGGCAGATTGCAGGAGAGATGCTGGGCTGATGTGACTGCGAAGTGCTGTCAATTATGTTTACTGATGCTTTGTAGTCACACAACACAGCAATTGTTTCCTCTGCCATTTATTTTCCTGCTGGAAGGACAATAGATCCTAACAGAGCGATAGGCTGGAGCTAGGAGGCAAGGATTGAAACTCCTTCGCCATACGTCTGTAAGCTGTAGTTATTAAAGAAGACCCCTAAAACCTGCTCAGGCAGCATCAGAAAAGAACCTTAAGGCGACCAATGATTCCAGTGGGCCATTATAAAAGAATGTTATGGAGTTTCAGTGCCTGGACAATGGTGCTCCACTGTGAATTGAATGTGAATCTTCATGTCAAGATATGATGACGTGCAACTTATCCACGGTTTAGATAGTTTTAGTAGTCTGGACATGAAAGAGCTGCCAGAGAGATTATTCATGTCACACGGTTTATGTGCCCTGACAAAGACCATATTTTTATACTTCATCGAATAGTGAGATGATGTAGCATCGGTGAAACTTCTCCAAATAGATATTATCCTGGAGCAGATACTTACATAGGCAGAGTGAATTAACGCTGCCTTGGTTATAAAGCGCACTAAGTTAGTGGCTGGACTTAGTGGCTGGACTTTACAGCAGTAAAGTCAAGGTTTTGCCTGACCGCTTCAACAGAGCTTCATTGACTGACTGGAATTTCCTCCTCCCTGACACAGCATTAATTTGCACAAGTACAAGGGAGGAGTCAAGGCCTCCTCTGCATGAGTTATTCAAGGTTGAGCTGCCCGCAAACACAAACTAAAGTGGCCAAGAGACAGACCTTCGCACGAAACTGCACATTTGTGCAAATCGAAAAATTGAGATAATCGAGATAATTCTGTGGAGTAACAGTTTGCATAGTCACTTCACAGAAACATTATCAGAAACAGTATCATTATCATGTTTAGCCAGCTGCAGTGTTTTGTGGTTTGGAGGGAAGGAGACTGCAGAGCACGTAGTCAACCCAGAAATGAATGGAGTCGCCTTGTGATTATTTGTATTATTAATATTGTCAGGAATGTTGTCTTGGCACCATTCGGGGGCTGAACGATATAGCCTATCTGAGTGTTGTTTCTGACCACATGTATGGCCGCAGTTTGCCTTCTTCTAATGGATCCATCTACTGTGATAGTGCACGATGTTGCAAAGAAAAAGTCGTCTCGAACTGCTTTCTCATTCACAGCAATGAGTTCTGTGTACTTGAGTGACCCCCACAGTCATCGGATTTAAATGCAATATGCTTTTGGACTGTGGTACAGCTGGGCATGTGCAGCTGAGTCTCCCATTTGTTCCCAACATCTTGAGGAATCCATGACACACAGAATTGAGACTGTTTTAGGGACAAAGGGAAGTCTGCAGTGCAATGATCCAATACAGTGCATAGTGACCGCATGCTTCTGGTCTTTCCGGACAGCTTGTGTTGTGTTTCTGGTGAAATTCCCCCTGCTAGCCCACACTTAACTTTTGTCACAGTTGTGGTATTCAAATGTACCAAGAGACTTTTTGAAACTGTCTGCAGTGGTTTCCTACTGGCCTGCTGTAGAGCAAATATGGTCACAGTGTCCGCTCTATATATAAACTGTTGAAAGACTCCTGCAACACTCTGACCTTGATTCACAATATTTATGTACCCGAGAAATGTACTGCTTTCTCTTGTTAGTCTCAGTGAACAACAATTTGAAAAAGTGGATAACGAATGGATGCGAATCAAACGTTTCTTCTTTTTTTTTTGCTTTCTTTTTACAAACAAACATGTTTATGGAGTAGTGAGAATCCCAAATTACAGAAAAAAATCAATAAAAGAATAATAAAATAAAAGTGGAAACAAAAAAAAAAAAGTCAAAAAATGTGGCAATATAAAGCAATATTAATCAAAAATGAATCCATAAAAGAAAAGGCTAATAAACGTACAGACTTGCGTCCTTAAGTATTGAGTAGACTTGGGACGCAAGTCCGTACTTGCGTACTATTCCTACTGCGCACATTTTTCTGCGCATATTTCCTTTGATTTTAAAGTGACATTATAAAAAAATTAAAAAATAAAAATGGAAAAAAAAATGTACATTTAAAATAAATATATAAAATTAAAAATTAAAAACAAAGAAAAATAAAATAAATCATTATTGTTTTATTTATTTGTCTTTATATTTCTACTTTTATTAGCCTTTTCGTTTATGAATTCATTTCTGATTAATATTTCTTTATATTGCCACATTCTTTATTTTTTATTTTATTTATTCTTATTTTTATTTCCACTTTTATTTTGTTATTCTTTTATTGATTTATTTTTGTAAATTGTCACTCTCACTACTCCATACATGTTATTCTAATCTGATTTGAAGATTTGAAGTGGGGGGAAAAGATACAACTGACTAAAATCACTGAATTTAATCCAAAACAAACTTGAAACTCATTCAAAAGGCTTTACTAAGGATGATTTTTTTCCAAATCCGAAGGGATAAGATACACATAGTATTTAGTTTGATTTTACCATCATTACGTCAATCACAGAAATAACACAGCGCCTTCCGTCTTTCTTGCAGTCCCACCTGCAGAAGTAGACATCGTGAAAACCTCCCACGGCTTGTTTGAATGCAAGACTGAAGCCAACCCACCGGCAAATTTTTCCTGGAAAAGGTACAGTAATTGGAATTGCATTTAACATACCAAACAAGATTTTGCAATTTTATTTTGTCATTTATCTTGAAACATTGGTTTGTCATCCCACAAGTACAGTTACGAAAGAGTTGTTCCATTTGTCAGATGAACTCAGACAGCATTTCTGTGGTTTGAACTTTGTGCGCTGAAATGCAATGTCATGTGCACTTTAGTTGCAGTGAATGAGTACTGACTAACACAAATATACACATCCCACAAAAAAAAAGAGTTGAAATGGTGCTGACAATTAAATAAATAAATAAATGAATGAAAGAACTTCAGAACACAAAAAGTGTGATAACTTGGCAAATGATCAACACACCGTTAAGGATGTCACGCAAGTAAATAAGTTGGCAATCAAATTGAAAGTAATGTCTTCAGACCCCTCGAGAGCTTGTGAACATGAATGTTTGTAGCTAAAACTCCTTTCACTTCGATTCATAAGTTGAATGACTGTACTGCTCAAAATCAGCTGAAATTGCAGTTTGTTTTAACTCCTTGTCACATATGCTAAAAGTATTTTTTGCTAAACGAAAATGCTAAAAGAACACAGAAAAGGGAAGAAAGTACCACTTCACTGCTCATGCTCTTATTCCAAAGTAATGAACTGTTCTTCCTGTAGTATTGGTACCTCATAATGGTTCACACTGTTGAATGTTTTTTTGGGCCAGGTGAGCGTAAATGGGGCCAAGAAATGTGATCAGTAGAAAAGAATGCATTGTTTGAGAGTTCAAACCCTGGAGGGACCCTTTTTTGTGATTAAAAACATTGTCAGCGTTGTCATTGTTGCTTTTTTCTTATAATATTCAACACAATAAAGGGCTGTATTGAATTTAGCTGTTACCGTCTTACACTTGAATAGTTTGCTGTAATGTTTTTCAGTGTCGCTGTTTGAAGTCAGCTTCATGTGTTATGTGATCTTCTGTGTTTTCTCAGGTTTCATAAACTTACATCAGGTGGTTTTTCATTTTCACATTTGGATTAATGTTTCACCTTTGCTCGTTTTAGTAGTCAAATTTATAATTTGGTTGTTCTCATTTGTATATTTTTCTGTCTACGGTTTGATAACGAAATTTCCAGACAGTAAAACAATGTGTCAAGAACTCATGCTCAGAACAGGTGGACACAGATGCTCAACACAGATGGGTTCAGACAGAAAGGCAGGTTTATTACCAGTCAGGGTTCAGTACGCACCAGGTCAGTCAGGCAGGCAGAGGTAACCAAAAACGAGAGGCGGAAGAGAGACAACCGGTTAGTGACTTCAAAATAAAGCAGGAAAAACAAGACATAAAATGTGCAGACATGAACAGGGACTTGACAGACATGACATAATGTCATCGCAGGGGCTGGGTGCTTACCATAGACAATGGATGGGAACTTGTCCAGCACTGACATTTAAAGGGCAGGCATATAAACACTGAGGGTGCTGACATTAGCTGTATTCTACTACACCAACTGAAAGTTTGGCGTTACATAAAGGCTACAGATAAAGCTGGTGTACTTAAACCACAGCAGAATGAAAATAGACCTTTTCAGTTCTTTATTCGACAAACTTCAGCAATAGATGTAAAATTCTCTGAGACTTCAGAAGTCCAGAGAAGACTAGAGAACAGAGAAACTGAGAACAACACATGAAACATCTCTGTCGTATTTATAGAATTAGTGCTGTGTACATCACAGTGAGTTTGAATGGGAGGCAGTGAGTTTAAAAATAAAGGTGCAAGTCCTCTCCAAACACAGCTGATTAATTGCTGTTTTCAGAAAGTCTTGTGTTGTAGTAAACATGGTAATAAATCCTGCCTTTCATGAGGTTTTATTGTTTTCCACTTTGGATGTTGCTACCACAAAACAATTTGGCTTAAGAGCAAAGTGGAAACTATGGATACGCCACCCCCTTTTTTATTGTTGCAGATTTAAACATGTCTGATAACAGTGTATGGTCTCTATCTAATTCAAATGTTCCATGGTTTCTGAACACACAAACAAATAACCCGTGTTAAAGCCCAGTGATACGTTTCTGAATATATAATAAGCGGATGCTCGCATGCTTTTATTTGATATGGTCGTCATGGAAATAGTGTGCTCAGTGACAGGCTGTGTAAATATGATAAGGGACGACCAGCATCATATGAATCCAATACAGGATATTCTACCCGCAGTTTTATAAACACATAGAAGTACTGGTCTATAACATGATGGGCAGAATTGTGTTGTTGCAGATTTGTGGAAAAAAAAGTAGTGCATAAAGAAGATAAGTAGTTACGGTAATAGTAATTTGGGAAGAACAGTCCAGTCCATTAATGTTAAATCCTGAATAAAAGGTGTTGTGTCGGATATGACGTTATTTTTAAGAGTTATCAAAGGATGGCCACTAAACAAACGACATTATTTGGCTTGGTGGCCCTGAGATTTGGCAAAATGACTTTGTTGTAAGGTTATTTTTAATATCATATAGTCCATGGTGAAAGTTAACAGTGTGAACCCCAAACCATCTCAATGGATTTAGAAGACAAGCTTTCTCATATTAAATCACAGAAATTACACCAATTATCAAGGCTACAAAAAATTAGAAAGAAATGTTGGATTTTCAACTTTCCAATGTGACATTAAATTAAAAAAATTAACCAGTTTGAAGCTTAAAATTGTGATATTTTTTTCAAGTCACTTTACATGTCGCACGTTACATCTAACCAAAAATAAACTGTTAGCAGTGACTTTTTTCCTCGACTGGATTGAACTGCAGGCTGAGTTTATAAAGAGCAGGTAGGTAAATCAAAACTAAGTAGTTAAAAGTCTATTGTATGTACAGCCACCATTTTTACAGTATTGTGGGTACTAGATAAATGTTTTTGGTTCTTTTTTTTTTTTTTAATTTTTAGAAAATAAATCAACTTTTTCTCATTACAAAACCAGTAACCGGGAAGATAAAGGAACACTCAGGAACGCTGGCAAGACACCACAAAACAAACTTTCAAAGAACATGAGGAGTGTGGTGAGTGAATATAGAGACAGGTGCACACTTGAGAGGGACAGGTGATAACACAAGTCGGTTAACAAAGACCGTTAAGACACCTGCAACAACATGAGCGTGAGTACAATACACTGATAATACCAAATAAAACAGGGAATAGCGAGAACATGATCTATGAGCGGAAGCTGGGCGTGACAATTATACCTTTGTTTTATTGCAGAAAAGACATTTTTGAGTTTGTGGTGTTTAGATGGAGGTGCAGGACTTTATATTGCAGTGAAAAATGAACCCACAGTCAATACTCACAGAACAGGAGCAAAAAAACGGAAACTGATTGGGATTCAAAGGGTTAATAGGAAGTTGTGAAAAAGGTACTTGTATTCTTTACCTTTGTAAAAGGTATCTAAATCAGTGTAAAAATGCCTACAAATAATTTGGTAAGTAAGTATATAAGGTATTCTTAGTCTAAATGGACAAGATTTTATGCAGTGTAGAAATATATATGTTTTGATGTAAAATCTCCTCTGGCTATGATGTCCACAATACAATGTTATGTTCATAAAATGCCTATCTAGCCCCCACACTGGACAACTTTTAATTCGCCGCCGCTAGAACAGCAACACAAAGGACTCCATCTCCACAGCACCTCATCCGCCCTCTCCCACCTGGACAACACCTACATCACAATGCTGTTCTTCGTCTTCAGCTCAGCATTCAACACCATCATCTCCTCCAAACTGGTTGCCAAACTCACTGAGCTTAGCATTGGCGGCTCACTCTGCCACTAGATATTGGACTAACCTGACCAACACACCAGTTTGTTAGATGAGCCGATCACACCTCCTCAACACTGATTCTGAACACTGGCATCCCACAGGGCTGCGTTTTGAGTCCTCTTCTCTACTTCCTGTTTATATACGGCTGCGTACCAGTACATGGTTCCAACCCCACTATCAAGTTTGTGGGTCTCACCAACAACAACAACAACGATGTGATGGCCTACAGGATTGCAGCATGGTGCGCCAACAACGTCTCAGGCTGGAGAACACTGCAGAGGGTGGTGAAAACAAGGTTCTCCGTACTCTATTTTATATCCACCTCTATATAATCATATTTTAGTGTCTTCATAGCCCATACTGTTAATTCGGTTTATGCTGAAACGTTCTGTATATACCATGTTGTAAATAATGCACTTTACTGCTGCTTTTGCACGTCTGGTTAGATGCTAGGCTGCAGTTTGTTGTCTTGTGCAATGACAATTAAATTAAATCTAATGTAATCCACTCTGATGTAGGCGTGGGGAATGCCAAGCTTCCTGGAATTACTAATATCAATATGTTACTGTGGCTTAAGTGGTTTTAAATCTACGTAATCCAGTTTTTGGATTACTTAAGACAGCAGAAACAAGTTGTGACAAAACTGACAAACTGAAACCTTTTAGATTATTAAAGGGAACTTGTTAGTAGTTGCACAAAACACATCCAACTGAAATAGAGCAACTATAGTACCGTACATACTGGACATATATCTGGCCTCTTGGTAATGCTTTTTAGATCTGTTTTGGTTTGTTAGCTAATGAATGCGCCACAGTAATAACCTGTTTATTGTTAATGTTTTTTTTGGATATTACTGTACGATATTCCCTTTTTTTTTTTACATTTATTTTCATGCTTTTTGAATTCCAATGTCTCAAACTATTTGAATGATCTTAATACAGTAAATAAAGTATTAACAATACCTAAATGTATAACTTTTGAAAAGTATGTTCATATACCCTCAAAGCTTAGTTGGAAACTCCTTCAAATTAGAATAGAACAGAATGCGTTTGTTGTCATCATACACAAAGCATGACAAATTAAAAGACAACTCCAGTGGTGCAAAATACAAGTATAAAATAAGACAAATAAAAATATATCAATAAATTTTAAAAAGGAACCAGTAGGAAATATATAGTCAGGAATGAGCATGATAACAGCCAAACAGCAGAATAAATATGTTGCACTGCTGAAAAAAGAACACTGAGGATATATGATAAATTTATATGCCTGTTGGGCTGCAAGGTGGCGCAGTTGGTAGCACTGTTGCCTCGCAGCAAGAAGGTCGCCGGTTCGCCGGGATCTTTCTGCATGGAGTTTGTATGTTCTCCCCGTGCAGCGTGGGGTTCTTTCCAGGTTTTCCGGCTTTCTCCCACACAGTCCAAAACATGTTGAGGTTAATTGGTAATTCTAAATTGTCCGTAGGTGTGAATGTGAGTGTGCTTGGTTGTCTGTCTCTAAGTGTAGCCCTGTGAAAGACTGGTGACCTGTCCAGGGTGTCCCCTGCCTTCACCCTAAGTCAGCTGGGATAGACTCCAGCCCCCCGCGACCCTCATGAGGATAAAGTGGTGTATAGATGATGGATGGATGGATGTTTTATTGAGTTCTCTGTACTTCTAGTCATGGTTGTGGTGTTTAGATGGAGGTGCAGGACTTTATATTGCAGTGAAAAATGAACCCACAGTCAATACTCACAGAACAGGAGCAAAAAAACGGAAACTNGTGTCCTATATCACTTTTTAATGGACACCCTGCAGCCAATCAGAATCGAGTATTCACCCAGACCATGGTATAAGATAAATATATATCCCTGTTGGGCTGCAAGGTGGCACAGTTGGTAGCACTGTTGCCTCGCAGCAAGAAGGTCGCCGGTTCGCCGGGATCTTTCTGCGTGGAGTTTGCATGTTCTCCCCGTGCAGCGTGGGGTTCTTTCCAGGTTCTCCGGCGTCCTCCCACACAGTCCAAAACATGTTGAGGTTAATTGGTATTTCTAAATTGTCCGTAGGTGTGAATGTGAGTGTGCTGTGTCTCTAAGTGTAGCCCTGTGATAGACTGGCGACCTGTCCAGGGTGTCCCCTGCCTTCACCCTAAGTCAGCTGTGATAGGCTCCAGCCCCCCCCATCGAGTCTCGATGTGGGGACCTGGATGGATCTGTACCTCTTTCCTGAGGGCAACAGTAAGAACAGGCTGTGCCCGGAGTGTGAACCATCAAAGGTGATGCTTTTGGACCTGCGCAGACATCTGGTGTTATAGATGTCCGACATAGAGGACAGTTGTACTCCTATGACGCTCTGTGCTGACTTCCTGACTCTCTCCAGAGCCTTCTTGTCAGCCTGAGAGCAGCTCCTGTACCACACTAAGATGTTGTAGGTGAGGATGCTCTCCACAGAACACCTGTAGAATGACAACAGCAGTTCCTGGGACAGGTTGACCTTTCTCAGCAACCTTAAAAAGTACAGATGCTGCTGTGCCATTTTCACAAGGGCATTGGTGTCAGTGCCCCATGTCCTGAGAAATGTGGGTTCCCAGGAACTTGAAGTCACTGACTCTCTCTACAGTGTCCCCTCAGATGAGAAGTGTGAGGGGGGTCCTCCCTCTTCCACCTGAAGTCCAGCACCAACTCCTTTGTTTTTGAGGAGTTAAGTGCCAGGTTTTTGAGGGAGCACCAGGTAGTGAGATTCAGGACATCCTCTCTGTAGGCCGTCTCATCATTGTTGTGAATCAGCCCAACCACAGTAGTGTCATCTGCAAATTTGACAAAGATGTTACTGTTGTGGGTTGGTGCACAGTCACAGGTGTACAAGGTGTACATCATGGGACTGAGCACACAGCCCTGAGGGGTCTCAGTGCTCACTGTCAGCACAGAGGAGTGGTGGGACCCTATCCTGACTGACTGCAGACGGTTGGTGAGAAAGTCTCAGTTGGCTCTATATGCAAATTACAACATCAATGCAGCGTGTCATAGAGGCGATCCGCCTGTGGCACTGCTGAGGTGTTGCTGAAGCTAAGGTTGCCTTGAAAGCCACCTTCAGTTTGTCTGTATTTTTGGGTTGGGTGTTTCTTGTCTTTTTGTTGACAATACCTCATATGCGTTTCTTTGGGATTCAGGTTATGCACCTTGGCTGACCAATCAAGCACAGTAATATCAGGGTCAGATTTTGGTAGCAGTTTTGACACCATGGGCAGGTGCTATGTCCTGCTGGCATCTCCATGCATCTTGTCAGCAGATGGAAGCATGAAGTGCTCCAAAGTCTCCTGGTAAACGGCTGCATTGACTTGATAAAACACCGTGGACCAACACCAGCAGATGACATGACACCCAAAATCATCAGAGACTGCAGAAACTTCACACTGGACTTTAAACACCTTAGATTCTGTGCCTCTCCATTCTTTTCAAGCTGTGCCATATGTTGGCAAAGAAAATGAATGTTAAATCTCTCTGCTCTCCACCAGCACCAGAGCTCCATCTGCTAGTGGAAATAATGCCTTCTAATTATCGGCTTTAACTGCTAAATGCACCATGTGGCGGTGGTGTGGATGTCCGCTCGAGGGCTGTTTCCAGGTGAAATTTCAGCTTTAGCTGTTAAACACGTATTACATGAGAAGTGCATTAGGTCATTTCAAACATTTATAATTACAGGACAACTTGACAAACTCTTTGTGCTGATGAAGATCATGTGACAGGAGTGGAACCGTTTTCGCAGCTGTTAATTTCAAGGGTTAAGATTCTGCTTTTAACTTTAGGAGTTTTACTGTGTGAGGATTTTCAGGAAGACAAGGAATAAATTGTGACGTGTTTTGGTTCCGTGTTTTTTTGCATTCTGGCATAGTTAAAGGACAAAAATGATAACATTTCTGTCCATTTAAATTTAAAGATACAACCCCAGCTAATTAGCTTAGCATAACAACTGGAAACAGTTAGCCTGGCCAAATAAATATCTTAACACTTGGATTATTGTGCAGACTACAGAAATGAGATTTGTAATGTTTATAAGAAAGCTGTACAAATTCTTATTGGTTCATTTTGTTTCATTTAAGGAATACAATATTTTATTCATTGTTAAGAGTTATTAATTGAAACTCATTTGGCTTTTGGTACAACTCTACAGTTTGTAAGGTTTTTCCACCTCATTGTTATGCTGTATTTTTTATTTTTAAATTTTTTTTATGTGTTTTTAATGCTGAGCCTTGTTTGTCTCTTCCAGATCTGGTCAGTCTTTGTCTCAGTCTTCTGTCAGAGCAGACGGTGCAAATCTACACTTCTTGAAACTGACCTCTGATCTGAGTGACTTCTATGAGTGTCAAGCATCGAACCAATATGGAAGAAAAGAGCAAAAGCTTTATTTTGAAGTTGTTGTGACACAAGGTTTGTTTCTGTTTTGTATTTTTGGATATGAGCTTTTTATGTTGTTTGATGAAAAAAAACAACAACAACAACAAAAAAAAAACTCATAACATCTACTTTACAGTAAAAACGCTTCATGTTTTTGACCAGACATGTCCGACTGAAACACTCCAGACCAACAACATTCCTGGTCTGCAACTAGGAGCTTAAAGGTTGGCTGGTTTGCTTTATTGCCAACACAACAAGTAAAGTAAAGGCTGACTGGAAATCCTGAATGCAGTGCAAGACTGAACTCAGCACATTCCTGCTTGTAGAAACTCCCTTTCCAGGTTATATTAAGTTAATGGTAGCACAAGACAGTTTCTCAGGAAATGTTTGGCAAAAGACACATAGTGTTGGATGTTGTAGTCTGTATAATATAAAAATAAATGCCATGAAAGACACAAAAAATAAACAAAATTACAGTAAATGACTGCACACACCGGCACGCTATTTTGTCCAGTTAAACTGAGGTAGAAGACAGAACCTTTGTTAATTAATGATAACCGTGGTGTCAGTATTTCGACTGATTGTATTCTTTTTTTTTTCTTGTGTCTTTGTTTTCACAGGATCCTTCACTGCTGTTTTGGTCCTCTTTATTTTGTTGCTTCTCCTGAATGTTGCTGCAGTGGGGCTCCTATTTAAATATGGGCATTTACAAAGGTACCAATTACAATAGTTCTGCATGCCGTTAAACATAATACACGATCAGTATATAGGGATATACTGCAATACAATACAAATGTAAGTCTGTTTATTGGTGTTTCACTATACAGAATAATGGGTGGCATACGTGACAGTCCGCAGCGCCAAGCACCTACCACCTCACATGAACCACCTCCGACAGACCAAGAACCGACAGAACAAGCACCGCTAGAAGTACCGGTAGGGAAAACATCTGTAACTGGGAATTTGTTAAAAGGCATTAAAGATATGTTGTTTCTCGCAGAGTGAAATCTATGTGCCTTACAATCTTTCTTTATATTAAAAACTTAGCTGAATATAATTTTATTTCTCAGGTATATTATGCTATTTTAGATGTGTTATGTTTTTGTACCTGTAATTCCAGTATATTTATGTAGTTGTACAGCACATTTTGTTGTGTCTTTGCGCTGACAACAGCAATGCTTTTTGGGTGGTCTGTGCCCTTTTTGTGGCATGTCTTTTGTGTTCTATCAGAAGGAGCCTTTTTGGCCACACACGTGAACACATAGGAGGAATTTTGCTGTTGTTTTCTCTTATTTTTTTTGCTTCTCTCAACAAACTTAGAATCTTCAGTACCTTAGATTCTTTACATTAAGTGAGTGTCAACTGCCAACTCAAATTAATCTACAGCCTGACTGGTTGATGGAGGTATACAAGCACCAGGTGGTCGTTCTAGTTATATCTGATTCTTTTGGCACAGCTGGTAACTTAAACAGTAAATGTCATCTTTTTTGCCACAGTGTTGTGTGTTTAGTTATACAGCAATATTTTTTTTTTGTTGCTGTTTTTTTTTTTTTTTTTAAAGCACATTTTCGTCTTAAAATGTTCATTCCAAATTCTGCAGATTCATTTGAAATGAAAACTTTCTGACCAATGCTTTGACTTTTTCAGCAAGAGGATTCTCGAATGTGAGAGCTGTTGAGGCAACAGGGCAGACGGCAGTTGGGACTCAACGGAACGGACGCAGGTGCTGTGAGTCCGTTCAAACGCCTGGCCTCATTTCTTTTGTGGCTTCTGTCTGGCAGTTGATATGTGTAATACATGCCTGGCTGCTTGATGCAACTCTCACCAAATACGAAAGCAAAACCTTGTACTAAAACAGTGATAAATGAAGACTGCAGAAGTATCAAACCAAACTGGAAGCGCATATCTCAACTGAAGAGGAAAGTTTGTCCATATCTGTCACCTGTGGTTTCCCCTTCTGGTTCCTTTTAACATCAACAGATTTAACGGCAGCCCTACACACAGCTTAAACTGCAGTAGATTGGGAAGAACACAAGAGACAAAATACTGTCAACGTTGGTCTTTTGAAAGGAGTAATAATTGTCACATCAAATGTCAAACACCAAAACACACATGCATACACTGTGTTAATGCTTTTACTGTAAATCAGCATATACATACAACATGTGTTCTGATTTCCTGTAACTGCATGCTTATTAGTACGGACCCCATGAAGGACAACGGCGGGATTTTTTGAAGTTCATAAGTTTACAGTGTTTTACGTATAAGTTCCAAGTTTTCAGTTTCCTTGTAATATTTTTTTTTTTTTTTTAACAAGGATCCATGGGAACAGTGTTTGACATTTGATGGGCCCCTTTCAAAAGACCCACAGTGACAGTATTTTGTCACTATTTGTGAGTACAGCTGGGTCGTTCTACCTCAATTCACCGTTTTTTTCTTTTTAAAAGTTCACACCTGTCCTTCTTCAATTTGACTGATTTCACCGGAGTCCTGAAATTGTGCAGGCGTATTGATATGTAAACATGGTCCTTAGTGGTGTGATCTTGCTTTGTTAGAATAATACAAACCAGTTACAGTTGTGCTCATAAGTGTACATACCCTGGCAGAATTTGTGGGTTTCTTTTGGGATTTTTCAGAGAATATGAATGATAAGAGAAAAACTTTTCTTTCACTCATGGTTCGTGTTTGGATGAAGCCATTTATGGTCAAACAACTGTGTTTACTCTTTTTAAATCATAATGACAACAGTAACTCCCCAAATGACCCTGATCAAAAGTTTACATACCCCCGTTCTTAATACCGTGTGTAACATCAATGACAGCTTGAAATCTTTTGTGCTAGTTGTGGATGAGGCTCTTTGTTTTCTCAGATGGTGAAGCCACCCTTTCTTCTTGGCAAAAAGCCTCCAGTTCCTGTAAATTCCTGGGCTGTCTTGCATAAACTGCATATTGAGGTCAGGAGACTGGGCTGGCCACTCCAGAACCTTCACTTTATTCTGCTGGAGCCAGTGACAGGTCGACTTGGCCTTGTGTTTTGGATTGTTGTCATGTTGGAACGTCCAAGTACGTCCCATGCGCAGCTTCCAGGCTGATGAGTACAAATTTTCCTGCAGTATTTTCTGATCACATTCTGCATTCATCTTGCCATCAATTTTGTGGGGTTTTCTTTGCATCCTGAACAATCTTCCTGGCAGCTGTGGCTGAAATTGCTGTTGATCTACCTGACCGTGGTTTGGTTTCAACAGAGTCCCTAATTTTTCACTTCTTAATTATAGTTTGAACACTGCTGATTGGCATTCTCAATTCCTTGGATATCTATTTATATCCCTTTCCTGTTTTATACACTTCAATTACCTTTTTCCACAGATCCTTTGACGGTTATTTTTGCTTTCCCCATGACTCAGAGTCCAGAAACATCACTTCTGTTGGCATTATGATTTTAAAAGAGTAAACACAGTTGTTTGACAATAAATGACTTCGCCCATCCACTAACCATGAGTGAAAGACAAGTTTTTGTCTTACCATTCACATTCTATTAAAAATGGCCAAAAAAATCACAAATTCTGCCAGAGTATGTAAACTTATGAGCACAACTATATATGTTTTTGCTGTATATGTATATATTTTGTCAAAATATATCAACATTTCTGTGTCCTCCATTATTCCACCAACCATAAAACAGTTTTTAAAAAAAAAGGTTTTCTTAATAATAACCAAAATAACTTGAGTTCTTACATCAATAGCTATGACATTATACTGCCACAAACAGTGCTTTTAAGCATTCCATTTTTCTTTTCTGTCTGTTTTCGTCACATGATACACACAGGAGTTAGTACTAAATTGCACAACCATTGTTTTTGATGACTACAGTCATGTGTCTCGTCATGCTCTCCATCAGCTTCTGACCACCATTGTTCTGCTGTCACAGCAGGCCATTTGTGTTGCACAAATTTGCTTTGTGCCCTGTGTGACTTCAGACCAGCTTCAAGAAGTCGGTTTCCAACTGTCCTTGCTGAACAAGTCAGGTCAGACGATGATTCCTGACACAGAAACGGATGAGTGCATGGTCATCTCATGGAGTAGAACGACTTTTCTTGCCGTGACCAGCGAGCATTTTGGTAGTACCATGTTCGGCTTGTTTTTTCTTAGTGTAATGAGCAGCTGTCTTGGAGATCTTCAGTTTTTTTGCTACCTGTCTTTCATTTCCAGCAGTGCCAGGATTGCTGCCTTTGTCTTGTTGGTATTTAGATTTAGATGGTTCAGCTCACATCAGCTGACAAAGTTTGGACCTTCCAGTACTCCTGTTGGTTTCCCTCTGATACACATCCAGCCAGGGCAGTACCATTCGCAGTGTTGTTTATGAAGTCCAATGTGTACTCCAAATGTGTCAAACTCAAGGCCTGCGGGCCAAATTTGGCTTCATTTTATGTGGCGCGCGAGAGATGTGTGTTTCCTAATCTGATAAATTAATAGGATTTACCTGATATAATATAACGTAATATAATGTTATAATTTATGTTATAATAGCACAGCAATGTGCCTACACAGGGCTCCAGACTGCAATCAAAATGGTCTCATATGTGAGAGTTTCAGTTAGAGTTTCATGTGGTCATATTGGTGTGAGTGACTCATCAGGCTGATCTGGTTCTTTCCGTTGGCACAGGTAGCGGCTGCACTTGTTATTGATGTTGGAAGCAGCCATATTTCTTCCACATTGACTCAGTCTCTCTCTGCCTGACGGGAAAACAGTCAGTTTCACTGCTAGTGTGTTCCAATGATAAAACGATATATAGCCGATTGTGTTAAAACACACACACACCGCACACACACAGCGAAGTGAGGGAGGGAGAGGTCCGATACACCTGATGATAGAAGGGTTCAGGTACAGGCAGACAGATCTCGACTGAGTCAGTTAGGAAGAAAAAGTAGCCCCACATTCAATCTGGAAGGTTCAAATTTCAACAGCAATCACAATTTTGACGACATAAACATGATGGCCAGTGATGACCAACGAAGAAAGTTGGTAACACCAGTGCAACCATTGGAAAAGTTAGTCTGGAGCCCTGCTATATATATCTTACTTATTGGTAAAGGCACGCACAATATTTGTACATAGAATAAATTAATTAATTATTATTATTAATCAAATGCAGGGCAATTATTTAACAATATGTGAAGGAGCTGTTACATTTGTGAAGTCTTACAATTACAACTGGCCCTTTAAGGGCAAACATAATGCTTATGTGGCCCAGGATGAAAATTAGTTTGACACCTCCGGTTTACACGGTGAAGAGAAAGGGATCGAGCACCATCCCATATGAAGCCTCCATGCTGCAGACCACCTCATCAGACACCCAGCCGTGGAGGCTCACATACTGTGTAAATGCACTGGAAAAATAAAAAAACAAACCAAACATGACCCTCACAGTGCTTCCTGTTCTCTCCAGGTGACCTGTGCATTTTTTCAGGCCCAAAGGGTTCAATACACTCCTCTCCCTGGTCTTAATGAGGTGCCAAGTTAGGGAGACAGGTTTGAAGTGGTTGGGCTCCCAGGGGTGTGTAGTCTTTTGGAACTGGAACCACACAGGAAGTTTTCCACAGGACCTGGGGCCTCATGTACAAAGACTTGCGTGGATTTCATATTGAAACGTGGCGTACGCTTCAATCCAGAAAGCTGCGTACGCACAAAAAAATCCAGATGAATGAAAGTGAGCGTACGCCTAAATCCAAGCACATTTCCTTTGTACATCTCACTAAGCGTGGAATTGACTGCACATGTTGGAGTACCAGACTTCTCCCTCTCCACGCCCCCCATATGCAAATTAGTATAAACTGGGCCAACAGGTGGGATTCCCCTCTGCATGATCAGATAACATTAACCAGGATGAACTCACCCCATTTGAGCGGAGAGTCGCCGCTATTGTTCGTGACACTGCTGTCACAGGGGTGGTGGGAGCACACGTGGGTCACTCATATCGCCCCCATGGTAAAGATATATTGTGTGACTCACAAATTCATTCATGAACGGGTCATACAATAATCTGCTCACAGCCAAACAAGATAAAGGTTCATGCGTAATCATGCCAGGATATCAAAGAGGAAATCAAAGACTTTGTCTCATGTGTCGTTACTCAGTTTATTATGTTCCAACAGACAATGAGGCAGGAGAAGACTGTGAGATGCAGTCCCAGCCTCATGTCAGACCTGGGGGATTTCTACAGCCTCCTCAGCGTCATCCGATCCTCCGGTCCGCCGCAACAGCCGGCTGCTGATGCCCACACATGCTTGAAGCGTGCCAGGGGGGATTAATGTTAGGAGAATTAAATGATATACTCACCAAGAAGCCACCTATCCCTCACCGTCCCAGCTTGTAGCCTCTTCCAAGGACAAGCCAAAAAAATATCTTAAAAAAAAAAAAAGAAAAGAAAAGTGCGTACGCCAAGTTTTTGTGAATACACACCCTTTGTACATGAGGCCCCAGAAGTCTCCTCAGGCTGAGGCTCAGATTGAAGATGTGCAGAAACACCTCACAGAGTTGGTGTGCACAGTCCTTTCACAGTCTGGAGCTAACACCATCTGATCCTGTGGCCTTCCTCACCTTGATCTTCTTTAGCTCCCTCCTCACCAGGGTGCAGGAGCAGGGTTGGTGGAGGAGGGAGTGAAGCCTGAATCAAATCTCTTGAAAAATACATGTAGATTCAGGTCATTTGCTGTCGTTTCCTTTCCCGGTATTTTGCTCCAGCTCTGCAGCCCCTTTACCGCCTCCTTATTTTTTTAATTTTATTTTTATTCAACAAAAGCTGTTCCCGTGTCTAAACAAAAGAGCTGTAGTTGAATATTACGAGTTCACTGCCTCTGCTCGCCATATAAATGGATATTTCTGGATGCTGATGTCATACAATTTGGGTGTGTATTTTGTGAACATCCGTCATGAGGCAGAATGGCTTTAGCAGCGAAAGTTCTAAGAACATGTTCTGTTGGTGATAAACTCAGTTGTGGTGAGTCTTGCCCCAACCAGGAATGTTTCACTTGATATTACATGCATCGAATAAATGTCGTTGAACATGTTCAATTGAATATTGATGGCTTAAGGTACCACTTTTCATAACAATATCTGAAGCACTATGATTTGGAAAACCGTGATTTTATGGTGAAAAATAACGGTTTTATGGTTGGTGGAATAATGGAGTAGACAGAAGCAGATTTTTGACAAATTTTCACCGTCGTATAACTGGTTTGTATTATTCTAACAAAGCAAGGTTGCACCATTGAAGACCATATGTACATATCAATAAGCCTGCACAATTTCAGGACTCTAGTCATATCAGTCAAATTGAAGATGGACATGTGTGAACTTCTTTTCAAAAATTTGGGAACTTGAGGTACAACGACTCAGCTATACTCACAACCAGTGACAAAATACTGTCAATGTGGGTATTTTGAAAGGAGTAATAAGTGCCACATCAAATGTCCTTTCTTTTTGCAGAGCATTTTACAAAACTACAACTATAACCACAACAATCACTGACTGTTTCTATGGATCCATGTAAAACAAATGTTAACACAAGGAAACGGAAAACTCCGCATTCATACATAAAACACTGTGAACTTAAAAGCATCATCCCATGATGCCATAAGCGATGCTGCAGTCTGTCTCAGTTAACCTTTGCTAGAATATAACAACATAGAAGAGAGAGCTTAGGTACTGGACCTATATACTATAGGTTCATTTGAGAAAACATGGAAAAATGAAGGATTTTTCTTCCATTCATCCTGCTACCTAGCCTAAACTGTGCCTTAAGCTGGAGCAACATGCTCTGAGAAAGTGTAGCTTGGACAGTCACGTTTCTTCAATCTGTTACCTTAATTACTGTATTTATTCATCTTCATGTATTGGTCAGTAATTTCTACATGAGAAAACTTGAGAATGTGGAATGAAACTCTGTCAATATTGTAGTGGCACAATTTTAACACATTACACGTCAACAGTATTCACACACTATAGTTTAAAATATATATATATATATGTGCCCACTACAGTCAACTACTCTCTTTTTCCTTTTGCAACCCACCCTTGCCCAATGGAGAAAAATAAAAGTTGCATAAACTACTAATACTAAAAACATAAACAAACACATAAAACATATACTGATTTAGCATATTTTGCATTTTTGAGATTTTGAAAATTCACCCCCTCTGCCTTACATCGTCTTTTTCCAGACCTAAAATATTCAATTCTTATTTGCACATTTGGAAAGTTGACAATAATTCCTTGTTATTGCATTCGAAAGGAGTTTCACATTTTTCAGGTTCTTTGAAAAGTTTGCATGTTAATAATGTGTTAGCACATGTTAACAACTTGTTAGTGCATATTAATAATGTGTTAGCACATGTTAACAACTTGCTAGTGAATGTTAATAATGTGTTAGCACATGTTAATAA